AATAGAAATCTCTTTTTCACACACATTAAATTAAATCAACAGAAGTAACTTGGCAGTCATTTTCAACATTATATATGGAAAACCATTTCATTGAAAGTAGATTACATGTTTCGGCCTTACTAGGCTTCATCAGATCAAAAATTAAAGCTTAGAAAGGACAAAATACGTAATCTATGAAATGATTTTCCATTTGTCTTATGCTTCAGACTCTGGATTCTGTATCCTATTTTCTCCACACACACACACATATATATAAATAATGGAAAGTAAAAAATTATCTGCACTCTTGCGTAAAGATATGTTATGATGAAAGTTCAGATAATTTTTGATACCTATATATATATATATTTGTCAGCATATTTCTATATATAATAATACCAAGGATTGAGTTTCACCAATAAAAACAGTCAACCCATTTATTTCTGGAAGATAACATTTTTAAGACAAGCAGTTGATAAATATCATAATGTATTCTGGTGTACTGTTGACTAACCACTACCTATAGTTTTGTATATGGTGGGACATGCAATCATTGGATAGTTGGTAATTATATTTGGTGACATGTACATTTGGTAACACTTCATCTAACTCAAGATGTTCCACTGAAGGGAGTTGGCTTATTCATAACTTATAAATATCTACTAAACCTACCAAGAAGGTGGGAGTGGAGAAGTTACTCATGCAGCTAAAGATAGAAAAGCAGAAGCATTACTGTTATTTGGGGGAAAAAACAAACAATTTGCCCAATATGCCCCCAAAATGGTCAACGCATGACAATTCAACTTCAGCAAAGAAGTAATGCTAAAAGCAAAACAAGTGCTTGACACTGCTGGGTCATAAAATTCTCCATTCTTGAACACACACACACACACACACATATTATATATATATATATATATATATATATATATATATATATATATATATATATGGAAGTTTTTGAATGTGTTTTCTATGTGTCTTTCTTCTTGAGGGAGGTACTGGGAGCTGCAGATTCTTAATGCTCTTAAGTAGAAAATTATAATTATACCAGATTTAATCTTATTAGAGTGGCAGAAATAAAAATTGACCAGGTCAATCTTGTTGGTAGCTTTTTTCTGTAAAATTATAAAAATCGAGTTCAGTATTGTTTCTGTATAACATGTTATCTAGGAAGGAAATATATATATATATATATATATATATATATATATATATATACACACACACACTGCAAAAGCTGCAAAATACACAAAGCAATTCCCAAGGGTTTGCTCAAAAGGCACACTAAAAAAGTTCAATGCCAAAATGGCAGAGCATATATATATATATATATAAACTCTCACCATCCAGCAGCTCAGTGCTTATAACCAAAAAGCCAGAAGCCACATATGATTTGATTCTAGTGGTTAAGGTGTGTGCAGAACCAACTACACTTTTCAGAAGAACTATATACAGAGAGCTTCCCCAATGTCTCAAAACAAACCTTCTCAGGTTTTGAATTCAGAGTTTTCATTCTCATAGACTGGTAGCCAACCAAGGCTAAAGAAGCCCTATCTGTCCTAGTATTTAGCACATAGCTAGAGGGATGAAAAGATTGTTTCATACCTTTCCAAAGTTTATCAAAGTGAATCAAAGCAACAAACCCAACTGGAATTTGAACTCGACTATACAATTTCTCATTCTAATCTTCTATCCATTACACCACCCATATATATATATATATATATATATATATATATATATATATATATATATAAATATATATATATCTAACATAAAGAAACAAATAAAAAACATTTATTTTCTAACATGTTTTCACTTTTTAAAATCATTTTTAATCATTGTGGTTGATTCAAATCCATATTTTATTTGTATTTGATCCCAATACATACACACACATATATATATATATATATATATACACACACACACTAGAGACTGACAAATAGGATTCATATATTATACACTTTCATTTGGCTTAGTATACCTTTCTTGGTAGGTATACACAGTTTTGTTTTTAAGAAGTGTGGATACTTGTCTGATTGGACAAACATTTAATATTGATGATTTCTCATCTCAAACCTCCAGTATAATTCATGATACATACAGAGTGGAAGGAACAAAACTCCTTATTAAAAATTACTTATAACTTTTGTAAATATCACATTTGCATGAAACAATATATATTGTGATCCCTTAAGTGGTAAAATTTAATTGCTAATTTCTCTTCTGATTTCAGAATGACAAGTGTAGACCAGAATGGCACATCATCTGACCTTGCATGATCGTGCTCAGCTAGCATCCCATAATGATGAGTAGCAGTCCGTGGTACAAGTGCAGAGATGGTGGCACAGTGTTCATGGACGTCAGTCTTCAGCAGATGCCAAAACCAACAAAAATTCCAATTCCAAGCTGAGGAGTACAGGATCTGTGGTAGATACCCCCACAAGAGGTTGTCCTTCAGCTTGTGAGAAAATGTGCAAAAGTTAGAAATTTAACACTGGCCGCTATCATTATACTGTTAAAAATAAAACATGATTTATGAAAATTGACCAATAATTAATAAAGTTATTAACAACTGTAAACAGGCAGTTTCTTTCTATCCACCCTGTTTATATATTCAAATTAATTTGATATAATAGATATTTAGGCATAATGTACACAAGGAATACATGCATGATAGTAAAATGGAAAAGAAAATAAAGTTGACAAAAGATTAAAACAAAAGATATGTAAGGCACACACACACACACATATGTGTGTGTGTGTGTGTGTGTGTGTGTGTGTGTGTGTGTGTGTATAACAAAGATTATGTTTTGTCAAAAAACAGCCAACGAGTGTATTTCTGGAATATGTTTTTTTGGCAAATCATCTTTAATAATTACAGTGCTCAATATCTAGATATAGAGCATTAATAGTAAGCAAAAATTTACTTACCTGTTCTTGGAGTTTTGCAGATTCTGAAATCCACTCATCAGGAGACGAATGTATATTTGACTTCCATTCATGTATCACATTTTTCTTAAAAGGATGTTTAGTTATTATATAAAGTTATTAGAATTTGTTTTTTTTGTTTTTTTAAAAGATCTTCATATAACTCAATCATTTCTTTTTCTTAATGATGTCTACATAACTCAAAATAAAAATCATATTAAATCTGTAACTTCCAACATCACAATTGTGAAGTCCATAATCCTTTCTACGGCTTCTTTGTCAATTCTTGGTGACTGCCACTACAGAATGACAAGCAAAGAACTTGCCCAAATATCAGAATCAATATCACTTGAAGACTTTTAACAGCAGCAACAACTAAAATGGATAGAAGATACAACATAAAGAGAAAATAATTACATAATGTAAATACTGACTTTTCATGCTGCCTTACAGAAAAAGTTAGGAAAGAAACTGCCATCAGTACTGAAAAGAGGGATAACAGTACTGGAATTGAGAAACCTATTTTGCTAAAAAACTGTTTTAATACATAGATTTTAAAATTTCAACTAATAGCAATGCTAACTGTTTGGTCAAGGAATGTCAAAGGTTCCTTATAAGGAACTATCTAATCTCACAATTACCGTTATACCACGAACTGGCATCTTTTAAAATAAATAAATTAAAATAATCTCATGTCATAAGCTAAAGTCTTTTAATAAATGTATAGTATATGAAAATAAATCAAAAATAGTTTTGTATCCTGAGGAATGGATTTCAGAATCTGCAAAATTCCAAAATGAGATAAGCAATCACTTTATTTATTATCATATATATATATATATATATATATATATATATATATATATATATATATATATATATATGGATATATATTTTTTATATATCAAGAACAATATTGGGAAAAATGTATGACAAACTGGAAAAAGTTTTGTTGTGACTTGTTTCAGCCTTTAGGACTACATCAATAAATTTATTGGTGTGACTACAACGAAAATGTTTAGAGAGTGCCTTGATCACAAGTTCATCGAGAATAAATTTGCACCCTGGCTCTTACATTTCACCATTCCTGGTAGAACTTCTATTATCACAGTGTGGAATATCTACTAACAAAAGTGATAGAAAGAAAAAGAATCTTAATGAAATCAGCTAGATTAAGTTTTAAAATCTCTTGTTCATGCACATGTTTAGTCGCACTGACATAACTAATTTAGTCTGATGAAGTCTTAAAGGATGAAATTAGTTACAAGAAAACTTTTTTTCACTTTGTCATACATTTTATATATATATATATATATATATATATATATATATGCTGGGTTGGCCAGAAAGTCCTGACTCACTTAGGGAGTGGAAAGAAAACAACTAAACTTGATCTCTGTCTGGTGAAATTTCCAAGGAGTATTGCATTTTGAGCTTGTGTCACATGGTTGTGCCATCTCTGCTAAACTGTATTACCAGAAGTTAGACCACATAACTGACAAACTAAAGAAGGAGCATCCTGCTTTGGTCAATCAAGTTCAGGTTTTGTTTCAGCAAGATAATATGAGGTCACATACTGCCAGGAGGAGTTCAAACAGATGGACGGCATTGAGATTCTTGCTTATTCCACCATTCAGTCCCAATACTGTTCTGAGTGACTATAGCCTATTTTGTTCAATGGCACACTTCCTCTGCGACCAGCGATTCAACACTTTGGATGAAGTGAAAGAAGCTTGCTTACAGTTTTTTGATTCAAAGCCAGCGGACTAGTATCTGGGACAGATTCGGATGCTGGCGGATCACTGGTAGAAGGTCATCAAGAAAGATGGACTTTATTTTGAAAAATAAATGTTGGTGTTTCGACATAAAATTTTGGTGTTTTCTTTCCACTTCCTAAGTGAGTCAGGACTTTCTGGCCAACCAAATATATATATATATATATATATATATAATAAATATATATATATATATATATATATATATATGTATATATTTATGTGTGTATGTGTGTTGCAGTTGCATTGCGTTTGAGAGTAATGGAAGAATGAAACTTAAATATTGCTTCAGCAGTGAGAGGGGAAAGATCAGAGCAAGATATCAGCTGCACTTGTGAGAAGGCACAGACAAACGGAGAGTGGTGCGATGAGACGACTGACTCCAGCAAATGGCAGGGGATCAAATTCAAAGCAGTTATGAGTTCCTTCTATTACCTCAAAGTTTTGCGCATTACAGAATGCAGTACTATTTCCATATGCACTTCCTGCAACGAAAAAGCTTTTTTTTAATTAAATCATTCCCTAAAGACAAAATACTGACAGCAAAATAAAATCATTGTCATGTTAGCAACATCTGATAAGAATATAAGACTAAATTTTCCATACATAAAAAAATTATTGATCCACTTCTGCACTCCATGAAATTAATATCAGCTAAATTTAGGGTGTGTGGTTTTGAGTCTTTATTTGAACATTCAAATTCTTGTTGAGGATGACAGATTCTGCCTTCTCCCTTCATATTTTGAACGTTTATATAATTTCCTGTTATCCAGTTGTATGTGTTTCCTGAGTTCAATTGCATTCACTTCCTTGTTTATGTTGGTGTACCTGATAACATCATTCAAAGTTCAATTCTTCATCTTGTGCCTTTGAAATCACCTTCTGAGTCAGTGCTCAGGTTCCTACGCTTTTTGAGTTTTTGAAGTGAAATCAAATACAAAACTTAGATTTGTATAGAACCAGTATATATTGGGGCTACCACAGATCCACACTTTTTAGATCAAAGTGAACACTAAATTTTGATTCAGACCTCAGGTAATTCCTGATATATTACATTATCAATTTAAGAAACATCAAATCATATAATAATGATCAATGTGTATTTATTTATATATTTTCTGTCCCATCTATAGTAGGAAGGGAGGTAAATCAACATAAGTTAGTAAATTTAGGAGTAATTACTCGCTTAGTTGATTTAGTAATCTATACAAATAAAATATTTATCAGCATTTAGATAAAATTAGTTCCCGAGAAAAATGAACAATCTAATTAATCAGTTCCTTTACTCCTACATTTCTCAGATTGCAGTCTTATTTGTTCAAGCCTTTCATGTGAGGCACCCGGAGACTTTTGTCTACTAAGTGATCAGCTTTCTTCAACTTGGTCTTGAAAATAGGCTTTGTGATCACTGTCTTTGTCATTCTGTTACAAATCTTTTTCTTCCAAGAGATATTAACATGCCACTGTTATATTAAAAACATAAAATGTTTAACATGAAAAGATAGTGAGCAATTTATGTAATACTAGGAGTAATCAATGAATCATAGATACCATTGAAGGTTTCAAAAATATAAAGGGAAAGGATTAATAAAAAGGTTCATTGACCCCCAACTAGAGTTGTGAATTTATTATTTCTACCTTATTGAAACTCAATACATTGTTTCAAGAATTTTGCTTTATTGCATCTCACTTTTAAAACTATCTAACAATTGCCATCATTTTTTTATGGTACAGGTACACTAGCTGTAATAATAAGAAACTCGGGGTTTTTCTTCTGAGGTAGGACAGAGGTTAATCTAGATAAAAGCATTTTAAATGCTCATTTTTTTAAAAACTGCTAGCCCTACTTGCTTGGAAGATTAACACAGCAAAAGCTTTCTAGTCATTTGGCCTTAACTGAGTTTTGTTACTCAATAACAAAGGGCAGAGTCCTGCTTGAAGGAATTGTATATTTCACACCAGAACCAGTGGTCAGTATCTGAATGCAAATATTTTAATCAGGATGAACTCCCTCCACCTGCGATGGAATAACATAACGCAAACTTCATACCTCAGTCTCCCTTTCTCAGTTATCCTTCTACCATATTGTTAACTTTAGTCTATATCATTAATAAAATCAGCACCTGCCTGTTAGTTAAAGTAGTTGTATATTTTCTGTTGATGCCAGGGCTAAGGGTGTTCGAGTCAAGCTAAAATAAAAATTTCAAATACCAATTTTTTAAAGCTAACAGGCTCTCTCCAATACTCTTTCATTTCACCATATCTGGTAGAAAACAAAGCTTAGCTATTATTAATAATAAAATAATAATAATTGATAACCTGATGGAGAACACCCATAATAAATGATCTGTTGAAAATGAGAATCATGATACCAAATATAATAATAATAATGATAATAATAATAATAATAATATTATACTTTTATTATTATACTGTTGTAGTTGGAGCCCTAGGCCTGGTTGGAAAAGATTGCAGTAGACTAATTGAAGGGATTCCTGGAAGTCCATGCCTCAAGGAGATACAAAAAATTGTTCTGACAAGTACAGCCCACACTTTACGAAGGGCTTTATCTATGTAATTTTCCTTCTTTTTTTTTTTTTTGTCAGTGGAAAGTGTCATGACGCCATTTCTAACCTTAGGTCCCTGGGCAGGACCAGGAAAGAAATGTGTAAACGCCAGAAATCAAAGGAAATAATAATAATAATAATAATTGTATAGTAATTGTGCTTGTCTGTCCCTTCATTGGTTTGTGCAACCATTATACCCTACCAATAACTCATAAGTAATCAACAATTCTATTTTGATGATGTGGAAAGATAAAAAACATATCACAGATACTAATACCCCATAAATAGTGGACTATTGTTTGGATCTAATGAGAAAACAAAAGACCTATCACAGATGCTACTTGATTTCAGTGAGAAAATGAAAGAAAGATAGAAATGTTTAGTATCTTCTGCTATTACCTCATAAATAATGGACTATTGTTTGGATCAAATTAGAAAACAAAAGACATATCACAGATGCTACTTGGTTTCAGTGAGAAAATGAAAGAAAGAAGAGAAGATAGATGTGAAATGAAAAAAGTTGTCACTTTTAAATCTTTTCATTGAATCTTTTCATACTTATGGTTCTTATCGCAAATATTTAACAATGTGATAGAGGAATTTCTACAGATATTTTAATATCATAGAACTCATCATAAGCTTACTCAAACATTAACTGAAGAATTAAGATTCAAATAAGAAAGCCATAAAATTTCCACAGGTTAAAACTAGTAATAATCATAATAACCTTAATACATAATCTCCAGTTGAAAATGAAAACTATGCAAACAAGGATAATAAAAGTAATAAAATCAGTAACAATAAATAATAATAATATTAATCAGTACATTACTTATTGACAAAGCACCAAAATTTCAACAGCTAATAAATTGCCATGAGTCTTAGCCAATCCTAAACCCATTCAATCTTATTCTACCAATTTCAGTTAATCATAAGCCAGCCAATCATATGCCTGTCTAGTTAACTTTTGTCAAAAATCAAAAGTAGCTGTACAATGAAAAGAGAGAAAACATTGTTTGAACTAATCTTACATAAGTCAGTCAGTTATGGGCCATGTGTGATACATGTTTAAGCAATCATGTATCAAAAGATACATGACTGCCTAAGCATGTATCAAACTGACAAGGCAGATTTTTTTTCCTGAAGTAGGTTGCCATTTCTTTCTGCGGTAGACCAGTTGCCATCCAAGGCTATAGAACCTGGTCTGTCCTGCTATTTACCCATAACTGGGGAGAGAAGAAGAGGATTCATATCTTTCCCAAGTGTATTAGCATATAAGTGAATATAATGGATTCGATTGGAATTTGAACTCAGCTCAATCTTACATAAGAATTTCCCTAAAAACTTATTTTCTGTGCTGTATCTGTTCAGGTTTAAGTGATCATGATATTCCAAATCTTCCTATTCTTTGTAACTTTAAACAATTTTTATCTCCTTACTATCTCTTACAGTCCATGATCTGCCATCCATTTACAAATTAGTTAGGTAGGTAACTCATTACTTCCCTCTGATCATTTTGCATTCAATATGTCTCATGTGTGTCAAATTTTCCAAGCTTTCTTTCCTCATTAAGTGTTCCACACAGGTCAACTGTCTCTTTCTGATTCTAAATACAAATGTCCTTTTTGTTCCTCACTGATCACAATTTTTGCTCATGGTATTCTCAGTAGCCATCTGTAGAATGACATCTCTTTTGCCTCAAGTTTTCTTTTGATCTGTGAGGAAATTGTCCAGCATTCACTGGCATGCTGGAGGATTGATATTACGCAGCATTTTCTTTGTTTTTAGTGAAATTTTCCTGTTTCTTAATACTTTGCTTAGCTTTTGGAAGGCACTTTTACTATTCCTATGCATCTTCAGATTTCTGTGTCACATTTATGGGTTGGGTGTAAGGGAAGAAAAATGAAGTTGTTTTTAAATTCAGGAGAACAAACAAGTCATCTTTAATTAGTGTACAAAGAATAGAAAATAAGTGCTTTATGAAAGCAAATATATACATTACTGTCCTTGATCTATTGTTATTTAATTATTAGTTATTAAGTAGATAGTCACTGTTATTATACAGGCAGTATAATAATTGATAGAATGTGCTGATCATATCCACTATTGATGAACTCTATGGAAAATACATTTATTTATCTTTTTTAATTATTTACCCCAACCAAGGCAATAAAGCCACTAAGATGTATGGAGTTACTGAATGTTAGAGAATATGAGAAAAAAAAAAACACTGAGAGAGAACAATACAATAAGAGGAATTAAGAAGATAGAAGGTAACAATTGACATTGCATTTATATTTTTGAAGATAGAACTTACAGTTGCATCTACCCCTTTCAGCTGTAAAATGAGGAGACCTTTCCGCCAATCTAGTACTGCACTCAAATTCATTTAAAGTCTAGGTCCAATAGATGAAAGTTTGTCAGAACAATTACTATGAAGTATTTATTTGATTGTAACCAAAGAAGTTTCATTTCCATGAGTTAAACCAGGGTATTTTAACAAGTCTTTTAATGTCAAAAATTGCAGACTTCTTCAAAACTATATAATTGTTATTTCATGCTCTCTCTCTCTCTCTTTTCCCTTTCTCTATATACAACATATTCTCCTATTGACATATATTAGAAGTGAACACTTAGACTAACCCCGAGAGATAATTTGATTATAGTGGTAAGGGTTTGTGTAGAACCAACCACACTTTTGGAAAAAACTGTTAACATGGTGTCCAGTGTACCATGAAATCTCCAAACAGTTTTCTTCATATTCTATGTTATCAAGTTTAACCTCTCTGGAATAATTTCAAAGCTTCAGGAGAGTATGTAGACTTGAACAACATCCTCTCTGGAAAAAAACATTGTTTGAATTCAGAATTTTCCTTCCTATAAACTGGCTGTCACCAAAATCCCTGTCTGACCTGCTATTTAACCCATAGAAGGAGAATAAGATTTATGCTCTTCCCAAAGAGAATGAAACTTTAATTTGAATTCAGCTCACCAATTTCATTTTATGCATTGATTACTGTTATGCCAACTGCAGTTACATTATGTTATTATAATGGATACTCGTATTTGAAATAGAAGCCCTATTTTTATTTTTACTTTAAACAGTGTAAAGTTCATCTATCAGTTTGCGTATTCAACAGTGTGAAGTTCATCTATCAGTCTGTGTATTCAAGAAATCTTTAAAATGTCATTAAAATAAAAATGGCACAAGCTACGTTAAACAAAATTTTAACTTGGAATTCCATTAACTACCTGGGATGAAAATAGTTGGGTACTCACACAAACCACTATGATTTCACCTCCTACCACTTCATTGGTTGTGGAGTGTCAGAAGTGACTGGATAAATTCAAGTTGCTTATGAGTGACACATAGTGAACTGGAATTACAGTTCTGATATCCAGTTTTTTAACACTTAGTGCAGCCAGAAAAAAAACAAGGACAACAATACATAAGACAATTAGCCAGCCAGTACTAGACCAATATAGGTAACAAGGAAAAAAAATAAATATAGTAAAAAAATAAAAAACAGCTCATCAAAAAAGCGATAAATATATGAAACTTACCAATTGCAACACCCTCAAAGGAGGCCAGTCGACATTTATCATAGACATCAATGCAGTATTCTTCACAAACATGAACTTTCCTGAAGAAAAATATAAAACAAAAATAAATCTATCTGAATTTCTGGGATGAGGAGTTACTATTATTACAGACAGCTACAGACTAAAGCATTGTGATAATGACAAAAAAAGATGAGGACATGAATCTGAATGGAAATAAATTATTTACATTATATTAATATAGTGGATACTGGTATTTGAAACAGAACCACTATTTTTATTTTTACTTCAAACAGTCTGTACTTTGTCTGTCAGCTTCTGTACTCAAGAAATCTTAATAAAGAAAATGTGATCTCTGGTAGGAATTGAACCTACATCCTCATTTGTAGGAAAATAGAGTCTTGCCTGAACTGTGATGCTCTTCAGAGCTTAGTGGTAAAGTATGCAGGATTAAATAGTGGCTTCTCCTACAAAGGTAAAGACTGGTTGATTCCTGTTGGAGAGCACATTTTTTTTATTAAGATTTCTCAAATATGCAAGCAGATACAAACTGTTTAAATTAAAAATAAAAATGTGGCATCTATTTCAAATACGAGTAGTCACTATAATAACATTTGAAGTAATAAAATATTAGATTAAAAAAAATTAATTCTTTAGAAATATATATATATATATATATATATATATATATATATATAAAACTGGTTTGGTTAAAAAATAATTGAGATATATCATGTCAATTAGTTTTTGTTATGATCATTTCAAGTTCAGGGACTCATTTTTTGGTAGACTGAGAAAAAAATATTAAAATTTTCTTTCGAATAGTTTTTATTTTCCCAAGTACTTTCTATCTCATCTGAGACCATTTTAAGAGGGTTAAGTTTTCTGTGAGTATGTATGTGTGTTTCTGTGAATTTAAAACATTTCAACTTTGTTTTTTTGCTGCTTATGCAGCCTTCTAGATTTCAAAATTCAAATTTCACGTGTTTTTCCAATAACAAGGGAAGTAACTTTTTTGTTTTTGCTCATACGCATATAATTTTCTTTTTGTATTTTTCTTACTCAATTTTCTAAGTCTACAAAAAAAAAAATGCACGAACTTGAGGATCACAATAAAAACTAATCGACATGATATGTCTAAATTATTTAATCAAACCTGTTTGAATGAAAATATGCTGACTATATATATATATATATATATATATGATAAGCAAATATAAATGGATATAAATCCGACAGAATGAAGAAAATATCTGGAAAAACAAAACAAAAATCCTTAAAATGCGATTATGTTTCATTCATATTAAACAACATAATCGCATTTTAAGGATTTTTGTTTTGTTTTTTCCAGATTATATATATATATATATATATATATATATATATATATATATATAGAGAGAGAGAGAGAGAGAGAGAGAGAGAGATATATGTGTGTGTGTGTGCATAAATTTCCAAGAGGATAGAATCCAGGTAGAGCTCAATGTCCAGGACAGAGCAAGAATATAATATAAGCTTTTTATTTTATATATATATATATATATATATATATATATATATATATATATATATATATAATTTTTCATCTCAAGCCAAGTGATAGAGTAACTTTCAGGCATTACTGAGAGTGAAATAAACTAAATACAATTTATGTAAAAGGCTGACTGAAGCTATATTATGAGAATGGGAAAGTGAATGAAACTGAGATGCCAGGTCAGAAGCAATAACATTGCAGATACAATGAAGAAGCATCAAACCAGAGGTTACAGCAATATTTAATGCATAAAGGAATTGTAGATTTATAAAAGTGCAAGGCAGAGGTGGGTGAGAAAAATTGTCTAGCACAACACAGTGAACTAACTTTCTTAGCAACTGAGTTGTTAATATCATTCCAATTCATATCAGTGGAAAATGTTAGACTGAGAAGGTGCAATGAGTTGCTCTCCTGGAAGATACCATAAACCATGCTCATGGAATGAAGCCTGAAAAGCTTCTCTAAGAGAACAGTTTAGTTCTGAAGTATTAAAATTAACAAGCCATTTCTTGCCCCAATTAACAACAGATTGAAGGTGATTTTTGTGATCGGCTTCCAATTCGACTTTATCAAACCATTAATACATATATCTATCTATCTATATATATATATATATATATATATATATATATATATAAAAAAATCATAAAGAGGTAATTATACAAAAAATTAATTAGCAATGTTAATATAATTAATGGCAAAATGTCTTCACTAACAAGATCTAATTAGGCATTAACTTACTAACAATTCATTGAATAATGTGATCCTTATGTTTAAATTTGATAGATTTGATGTTGCTAAGCCGAATATTTTTGAAAATTTCACATTTTCATCCTCGGGTAATTTTTTCATTACAGGTAAACTCCAAGACAAAAAAAATGTAGTGTAGACTGAAAGATGTTTTTTTAAAAATACGTTATTTATTAATAGTTATATAATTTTGGAATGTGTGATGTCGCAATGCTAGAGTTCTTATTTAAATATTTCAAGTGAGAATTCTTTTTGAATTTAGTAATTGGTAAATTCACAATTTTTTTTTGTTGCATGTGTTTTTCAGTTAAAGTAACATGGACTAAAAGAATAGTCCAATTGATAGAGTAAAATGTACATTCAAAATTTGAAATTCTCTGAAGGAAAAATACTGAGACATATTTTTTTTTTTATTTTTTGTCGGTACCACACACACACACACACACACACACACATATATATATGTGTATATTATCCTAAAGATAATTAGGGTTGACAACTCATAAAATCACAATGAAGACTTCTAAAACTAATTTCAGAACATGAAGCATACATTTCACAGTTATGTTATTAATATTTTTATCATTACAATGACACTTTTTCCATTTTTTGTTCAAAACATTTGTATTTAAAAGGTTTGTGTCCATTCTGTAATTATAACTTTTAATGAGAATGTTTTCTTAGTGTTTCATTTTGTCAGAAATGGCGGGATTCACAGGGAAGTAACTAGATCTGATTGTGAATGAGATGGACATCAATAAATTCCCAGGAGGCATTTCAGTAGCCCTCAAACAGTTACTCAAGGTAGATTCCATGGATATGAGTGATCTGATAACTTATAGTAGAGTACTGAAGGCCCAGAGAATATCAATAGCAGTAACAGCAGGATAGAGCCCATCTTTTAACAAAGAAGAACCAAGAGAATTTTCTTTCATAAGCTATGTTTTCTATGTATAAATATATGTATAAAAAGCTATGAATAAAGACAAAAGGAAAATCCCCATTAGAATGTCTGACACTCAACTTCTCGAGAGCACCTCTCTGCGGCTGCTTGGTCTCACATTGACTGCTTACCTGAGATGGAACGAATACACTGAGTCAATAGCTTCGTCCACCGCAAGAAAAGTTGGCTCTCTGTGCTGCGCCAGGAAATTTTTCTCGGTGGAGTCAATCCTTCAAATCTACAAATCAACCATTTGCCCTTGCAGGGAGTATTGCTGCCATATATGGCCCGGTGCTCCTTCTGTTTGTCTCAAGGTTCTTGATAAGATCCAGAGACAGATATGCAATGTAATTAGCCCTAATCTGGCATCTTGCCTGCAGTCGCTCTCACACAGACGTGCCGTCATCTCCCTCTGTCTTTTTTACAAATACTTTCATGGTAACTGCTCTGATGAGCTGCTTTCGCTGGTTCCCAGATTTCATGAATTTAAGCGTTCTACTAGGCTGGCATCTTGATCATACCTTTTCACTGTCGAAACTGTTAAATGTAGCCATCTCTTCTACTCCAATATCTTCATGTCTCGCACCTCTCACCTGTGGAACACCCTCCCCTTTTCCTGTTTCCCTGATAGCTATAATCTCCAACTATTCAAATGTAATGTCAATTAATGTCTCCAGATGCTCTGATCTATCCCCTATCCTTCTCTTCATCCTTTCCTCTATCACTCCTATTTGCTCTTGCTCCAACTATCTGTAACCCCTTGCGTGCTAGTGGCTTCTCACCTTGCTTTGAGTGAAACACTTGAAAAAAAAAAAAAAAAAAACAACTTTATCTTAGCAGATCAGTTTTGTCCTTTGAGGGACTTTGAAATTTTTACACATAAAAAGCTATGTATGTATCAAATAAAATTATTTTGAAAGTCTTCAGCTGCAGACATGACTATTGGTAACCGCCATTACATTAAAATATAAATATCAGCTTTGTTTCCTCTGTGTTACAAATGTAAGAAGTAAATTTCAATCAGACAGTTTTTACCTAAGAACCGCGGCTTTGTGGTGCCAAATCCTGCATCAATGCTTTCCAAAAGTTAAGGATCAATCGTTATCTATCTTCCATATCTATGTAATTCTCATTTTTTACTTTCTACTGTTATATTCATATCTCATGCTTCATTCAGAAACCCTCGACCTTGAGTAGCTCTTGAGCCTTATATCAGAGGAATGCTAGTAAAGAATAGAAATCTCAAGATATTCTAAAGTAAATAGCAAATAAAAGCATACTCTAGATAATCTCTTCAGAGCTTAAGCAGAATGATACATCCATTTTCTATATTACTTTTTATATTCCAACCCAAAAGAGAGAGAAATAAATTTAGACTCCTCATTCTTTTCATCTCTGAGAGATGCTAAGAAACATTGAGCACACATTAGCACAAGGAAAACAGTGAATCTCACCCATTATACCACCGGTACTGCTCGGGACTACAAAAATAGCACATTAAGTAGTTCATTCGATTCATGCAGTCTTCCGAGGCCCCAAACAGTGGGTACATGTTGCTGAAAACTGAGGTCACTTCAGTCCTTTTACAGCAGGCTTTCGGAGCATACCAGGAACAGTTAACCAGACCATGTTGGGGTTCAGGAAAACGGTGAGGATCTGTAAAAAAAAAAAAAAAGGTATCAAATAGTAAATAAAATTAAAGTAATTCCCCAGAATCAAACCTATCCACCCTCACACATTTGAGACTATGACAGAGTAGCGAGTTTGACTCTCACTGAGTGCTCTATACATTTGGCTTTGTACCACATCTAAGATATGCTTAGTAAATCACTATACACACGAATATACCTATGCTAGGTTAAATTTTACGATGGAAAAAAATGTTTTCACAACTGTCATTGACCAAGTGATAATGCATAAGATGATAAGCTACATCCGTGTCCTGGGTAAGATGATAAACTACATCCGGCAGCAAGATTTCTGATCAGGAGGTTTTGAGAAGCATGGGGTGGTAGCATCTCTTAGGGTCCCAGATATGGGCAAATAGTTAACCCCAAACTTGGGTCAAAATGCTATGAAAGTGTAAAAAATTTAATACATGCAATAAATTTTTGAAGAAAAAAAAAAAAAATTAACAGCAATACATTTTTGAAAAAAAGAAAAAAAATATCTCCAGCATCATAATTTTTGAAAAAAAAAAAAAAAAATTTATATAAATATGTTTTATTCACTCCACAACTACAATTGGTATTACTTTGAAATGGGTCTTAGTCTCAAACACCCAAGCATTCAAGTGCTTTAATGACTGACCCATGAAATTGTTTCAATTGAAAAGTGGTCCTCTTTATTTCAGCCTTCCCATTTTCTTCACAAAATTCTTGGGAAATAACGTTACATTACTACCCATATCCACTTGCAATAGTCCAGTTATTCCATTTATTTTTTACCCTTTCTGTACTCTTATCTTGCACTTTTACTTCATAAATTTCAGTATTTCTCGTCGGAGGATCTATCTTCTCCACTTCTACTTGTTTTGTATATTTGCATACTGACTGGAAATTATTTTTCTTCTTGCACTTAAAACACATATTTCCATAACCTGAGCATTTATACTTGTTCATCTCGTGTTCTTTGTTGCAAAAATGACATTTACCTAAACTCTCCATAGTACTGTATGTCTCCATGTTTGTCTTAGAGGTATTAAATCTCTGAATTAACTCTAGGTACTGTAAAAATCCAAAACTCATTTCAATATTCATGTTCTGGACTTGAAGCTGTTCCAAAATTTTGTCCTTACTCCAGATGTCATACAGTCCTTCAATTAGCCTTAACTGTATTAATTCCTCTTCGATAGGCATCAGTCCTGTACCCAACTTTTCAAATTCACAGTGCTTCTTTTAGCCTGTGAACATACTGTCTAATGGTTTCATCCAGGTTTTGCATGATTTCAAGGAACTTTGTTCTCTCAGCTATGACCAGTTTCTTGTTTGAAGAATTTTTTTAAATGTCAAGTTTTCTAGGATCTGCAGATACACCATTACAGAGATCTTTTTATTGCCACACAACCTGCTGATGTTAGAAATAAATCCGTTACTTCATTTACTCCACCTCTATGTTTGCTGTCACTCAATTTCTTGACTCTCACCAACACCACAAAACATCTCATCTAAGTCTCAACAAGCTCAGGATCCTCTAATGAAGTTAGATATCCTTTCATCAATGCCATGTTGTTGTATCATGTACAGTTCTCACAAGTACACAGTATAGTCAAGGAAAGATAACTCACTCCCAAGTGTAGAAAGCTTTCCACTTATATACAATCTAATTTGCATATTACCACAGTTTTGTTCATACTAAGTCTCAAAAAACACTATATGAAATTTACTATTTTTTATTCATAATGTAGAATGTATTAAAAATTATTCAACTTTTTAACAAGTAAAATCTCAAGTTGATGTTAAAAAATTCCACAAAACATTGATTTATTTAAGAAGGAATTATCTATTAGGACATGTCTATAATTTGTATTTATATACATTGTATTTGGTTATAATTTTTATCATTGAATTGTTCACACTTATTGCATATAATCCATTACTGCACATAATTAGGTTACAATAAAATTTCTATTTTATATCAATACTACCTTATAAAAATTGAGATGTCATATAGTGTAGAGGAGGCTGAACCATAGATTGTGTGGTATCATAGATGGGTAGGCATAACACTCTTGCACCAGCTCTGGTACTAGTTTTTGTATATTAAAAAAAATAATGCTATCTGTGGTGTGCAGATAAAAATCTCATATTCCATTTTTTTTTTTTACCTTTCTGTGTGATTAACAATTCCTTGTCTTCCCACATCACACAATGAATAATAATTTTGGTAAAAAGCAGCACAAAGTTCTACTAGGATCATCTTTCACCAGCATGGCTCATGAAGAAAATTTAAGATTAGAAATTTGGTCCATTCATTCAGGATTGATATAAGTAGACATTTATATTCAAATATTACTAATAACAGAAGACAAAGACAGATCACATTAGGAGTTTTTTTTTTTTTTTTTAATCAATTCACCTCTAAGCAAGGTGATATTGCCACTAAGACACAAGGGGTTACTGGGAGTGACAAAGAATGAGAATACTTTGGAAGAAACTGAAAACACAATCCTAAACAGGAAACAAAGGATAAACCTCTACTGTATTTTCAAACAATTTTCAGCAATGTTTAACCTTTATGCCCACAAAAAACATTGAGTCAAAAGAACGATTCTTCTCTTGACATTACTAGTTCTGTATAAACTTTTGCCTCTTTCAGTAATGTTTATTTACAAGACTATAAAAATATGAACCATGTGATACTTATTATTTACCTTTAAGATTTATTATTTACCATGTTAAAAAAATACATTTGAAAAGAAATCTTTTTATTCAAAAATTTATAAAAAATTACAAAATTATCAAAATATGTAAACCAACTAAAATGCAATATTTATTATTTAGCATTTTATAAATAACTATAGAACAAGAAAATTTGAATAAACATATGACAAGCAAAATAAAAGAATGTTTAGTTCAGTGGAAGAGATACTCCTAACGTATTTAAATGAATTTATGTGGTGAGGGCAAATGAAACAAATGTGGCTGGAAAATGGATGTTTCCAAATTTGTAATTACATTTTCTCATCATTATTTCAATTTTCTTGTGCACTGACGTTTTTATAAATTTTTGAATAAAAAAAAAAATTATTTTTATATTTGTTTCTTTATAAAATGGTAAATAAATACAGGAGGTCCTCAGCTTACGTCAGAGATCCATTTTCTACAGCACAACATAACCTGATTTTCGATGTAGGTCAGAACTCACCTACATAAGCACCCATGAATCTGCTTTGGAGCCATAATGAAGGACAAAAAGTTCCCGCAAAAATCAACACAAATGAGAGATAGTAAATACGGCACAATCCAACATGGCGAACGGCTGGGGAAAAAGCAATGCTGTCTTCCTCATATAGCACTGCTTGACGACATATTGTATTATGGGAGATGGTACTGTAATCACAAAATGTTGTACATTAAGTCCAACGTTACGTGAGGACCTTCTGTATTTCATTATAGTTGGTTCACATATTTTTATAATATGGTAAATATAAAATTATTCTTTTAGATAAGTAATCTAATAAATAAATAAATAATGTTTAATATCTTTGTTGGTAATTCTCACGAATACAGAAAATGTATAAATTCATTTTCACATATTTGGGCTTTATTAAAATTCTAAGCATTGCTTTTTAAACAATAAATATTGCTGAGGGAGTCAAAAGTGTATACAGTAATAGCGCTGTAAACGAAATAATAATACTTTAGACACACTGTTTTTTGTGGGTGTGAAGGTTAAACATTGCCCAATTTTCAATATGAAAAATATATATTACTTACATTTTCATTCATATGTTATTTACATTATGAAATTTGATGTCAAGTTATATTTGAAAATTTCATGATTGCCCTGACCAAAATTCTCTAATTCCTCAATTTTTCTTTTAAGAAAATGTGGCTATATTTCGATTCTCTGATAATTCTTTTATTTTTGCTTTCCAGTTTGGCTATGAACCAGGTTTATTGTTGAACCTCACAGAGATTGTGTAATAATAAAAAATATCCATGCACATATATACACTTCTTTTCAAGCTTGCAATATTAGGGAATATGAACTATAAAGGAGGTTTAGTCTATTTATATAGATAAAACAAATGAAGAAGGCCAGAGAATAGATTGGCTAAAACACTAGTAACAATAAAAACAACAAAAATTAGATCAATAGTCAAAAAAAAAAAAAAAAAAAAGTCTTGAAATTACTCTATGTAAAATGAACACTGGTATAGGTCATAATCTTGAAAGACAAAACCTGGAAAATTCAGAATCACTTAGTCAAAAGCTCAAAGATATAATTCAGAAAAAAATAATATTAAAAAAAAAAAAAATGATCTTACAAGGCATTTATTTAGAATTTTTAAAAAGGAATTATTTGAAAAAAAATATAAAATTATATTCACTTTAAAAAATAAACTTTAAGAAAATCGATGATATGAAAAACCCGAGGTGATGAAAAGTTTGCAGTATGATCCATTTATAAAAATTGGGCCAAACAACCATATCTTTTTTTTGAGGCCAAGAATATTTTAATGCCACTTGGTTATAAGTGACTTTTGAAATCATTAAAGTGAATGAATCCTTTAGGCCTTAAAGACCACAATCCTTCACCAGAGATTGGTGCTAAAAAATTACAAATAGATTTACCAAATAACAAAAACTTCATGAAGACTTCTAACAGCAATAACAAAAATTGGTAGCGCATATAACTAGAAGGAAAACCAATGATATAATCAAGATGTTAACTTTTCACACTACCTTAAACAAAAGGTTAGGAAGGAAACTCCTGTCAGTACTAGAAAGAATAGTGACAATGAACTTGAGAAGTCTAATTTCCTAAAAAACACTTTTAAGCAAAAGAGTTTTATAAATTTCAACAGGCAATCCGTCAATTAATGGTGAATATTTCTTGTAGGGATTGATAGATTGATTTGTTTTTTACAATCTTTTTCTAGTTATTTGAAACCAGAAAATATTTTTAAATTGTAAACATTTTTTTGGTGA